TATTCTATATGGACTATTAGGACAGTTCGCGTATCCATATAACATGTAAATCTCATTGAAATCGGTCGAGTAATTTTCGAGATTACCAATAAAGTGCGTAAAGCTTTGTGAATTTTACTAGTGCAATCAAAATAAAAAACATTAAACGCCTATGTCAACATAGTACCGTCATTATTTGTTTACCACTAAGTACAACTAATGATTGACATGGGAGAAAATGTTTAAATTTTTTTTATTGACCAAAACAATTGTATATACATAAAATCAAACAGAAATAAAAACTTAGTAATTTAAAATAGCTTAGAATGTCAGAATTTATGGAAAATATAATACCACACCTAGAAAGTACTTAAATTCATTCACAATTTCAATTCTCTAACGTCTCTAAAAGTCTCTTAATTATTTTTTACTGAATTATAAGAAGAAAAAAAAGAAGCGAAAGCAACAGAAACTATTATAGTTTATTTTCCGGTTTTTTTGATTTTTTTAGAGCTTACCTTCATAATTAAGAAAAAAACTAGAAAAAAGATTTTGAATTTCCTCTCAAACCCTCTAATTTAATACAACAACAACAGCTGAAAACATTTTTTACCGGAAACTGACGCGGCCGTTCTCGTCCGGAAAATAGTTTAAAAAAGCTTGCCTAACGATTGGCTTTACCGCTGAGCAACACCGCACCTGACTCTTAACAATATTTTCACTGAACTTGAACGGGCTAACGTCCTGGATTTAGAAAGATGGTGAGTAGTTGAGTGTATACGGTTGAACGGATAGGAATATGCCGAGTGCGTGCGGTTTTTAAATTTTACCTTTTTCGTATCCCGAGTGCGTCTGCAGTCGTAGGTTAGGTTTGGTGCAACTCTGTATAGGTAGGTATCAGTTTATGCCTAGTTGAAAATTGATATTAATAATTGATAAAATTTTCGATGCGTTAAAAGTTCAGCCAAATATAACGATTAAATGATGATGAATTTTATGAAAAGCATGGCATTTAAACATACATTTTGAGCGTAATTATGTTTAGGTAACACTTAAAAAAATTGAATTACACTCCCACAACCGTAATATGTGTACGCCAAAATAATGGAAAACCCAAATATGGGTGGGGTAGCTTGTTCACTTCCTCGTGATGTCCCTTGGGTAACTCTATATGAACTGGGACGTGTTCTAGCTACGTTGAAAAAATTATCTTTATATATTGGGACGCCTTCGGTTGATACCTTATTCCAGACGCACTCAGGACATTGATACATGGTCATTTCAGGACGTACTCGGTTAACTCCGGTGAGGAAGATGCGACGTTCAAGGGTCGTGTCAAAACTACCCCTGGCGTTGATGACTGGAGCAAGATTCCTGGTTCAAAACTAGACAGACAAAGAATGATGGTTTCAATAAAATCACACTGCTGAGTAAAAAATCCTTTGCTCAAAATCTTAAATTGAAATTATTTTTACTTGTCATCATTAAATCAATTTTGAATAGTTGTAATAAATCTCGCGTCAACGAAAAATAAGATCTCTGCCCTCTGCTCCGGTTACAGAGTCTTGTTAGGTGCCTTCCTAAAATGTATAACCTAATAAGTAATAGGTATTTAAATCAAGGGGAACGAAGTTTTAAAAATCATATTTTTATGAAAACCCAAACTCGATGGTAGTTTCCGTTAAATTAAGATACGCCAGAGTGGCCTATATTGTGGAATGTACATAACAGCGTTGATCTCGACTAGTTTAACGGGCGGTTCTCAACCTTTGCGCGTTGGCGACCCGAAATATTTACCCAATATTTTGTGCGACCTTTTTGAAAATAGTTTTCAGTGGTGGACTACTCGGTGGAGTATCTCGGTGGTGGACCTATCTAATCCACTTATAATTTGTTCAAATACCACAACTAAAAGAAACTATTACCTTTCATCTATTTTTAAAGTAATATACGCGACTTAACAAGTAATGGGTACCTTGTGCAGTACACAATGTTGATCATTGATACTTGATGTCAAATGATAAAGTTCATTTACAGCACTGAAAGACCATAGTCCAAATACTTGTTAAGAAAAATAATTTACAAACTATTTATCATTTGGCGACCCAGGATCAGTACTCCAAGAGTGTTCATGTTATTAAAATAATATAAAGCGGAAAATTTATGATTTTCGTATTACCATAATACATCTTTAATTTGATAACAGTTAATCAAACCAAAGTACAGATAGCATACGGAATCGACGGTTTTTCTTTTACACTCGTGTAGAAAACATAATTGCACTTAACCATCATACGGAATTTTTGTTGTATGATAGTACACCTAAAGTGTACACGAGTGCGGTCAAATGGAAAACGCTACAATGTAAGACATTATAAAATCACTATAATTACAATTTAAAGAATAACAGTATTACCACTGTATCTATATCGTGTTAGATAATAATCGGTACGTTATTCAAATGTATTTACCTATACGAGATGTTTTAAAATCAATTTCGGCTCATTTTTTTTAAATTAAAAAAAAAAATTATTTCACCAGATTTATAATGAAACTATGCGTAATTAAATAAAGTGTTTTTGTTAATTTTTCGAATGCCGAAAGTATAAAGTGCTCGAATTAAAAATTACAAAATACTTCTGTTCTGTATCGAAGTACTGACGGAACGATACGAGTTTTCGACACCGGATACGTGTATTTATATACTATTACGCTTGGTTGTAAAAATGACAGAACAATGTCCATGATAAATTTCTTCCGTTATATATGTGTATAATTTACCTAGTTTATATATTATTGTAAATTACTGTTTAAATAAGGAAACTTATTAGTTATTTAAGGTAATTATAAGACACTTTATGGAAGGTTTAAGTAATAGAAAGTGGAAATACAATAACCTGTATAGACACGATTTTCTACTAAATGGAACATGGCTTTTTATGGAACTGTACCAAGCACTTTTAATCCCATTTACTAAATTAACGATAAACCGATCAAAACTGTACGATTTAATGGGAAAATACACTGCGCGTCAAAATTGTAATTGAACATAATCGAAATGTTCTGTATTGAAAAACTATCATATTGTTACAACAAGGAACCTCATCTGAACACGAGACCAGTACGTCCAATAATGATTCTAATATTTCTTTCGATCTGAAAAGAACACACGTAAACTTTTTATAAATCTAGTACCAAGATAATATTGGATTCAGTACGCTCGTAGCAAGGAATGTATTGGTTTCACTATGGTATGTGTGCGTGTTTTTCGTTCGGTCTTCAAACCGCTTTTATACCAGAAATCTTGCTCCGATTATTATCAAGTGTAAATATCTTTTCTAAAACTCTATTTATTTGGTGTGTTCAGGAGGTGATTTGTTTTAACATTTTCCCTTGCAGACTATTTAATCAAAGAAAATCCCGTGAAAAATTTTACGATATAACGGTTTCCGGTTTTTTAGATTTTATTTTTGTTGTAGTAATTCCGTTACAAATAATTGAAGAGACCAGGCATTTTCACCGAGTATTTATATTAGTATTTTTTAAACGCGGTCAAATTTTTAAAGCGTCCCGATGATTTTTGCACGGCTATTTATAAGCGTGTGCAATTTCCAAGCTCCTTTTTCCTTTGTTTTAACGAAAATGTGTAAAATCACGACATTATAAGATATTTTTATCGAATTTTGCTCAGAATTATTATTCGTTAGCAATTGCACACAGATATAAATTAAATTAGTTTACCTTCCCGAATTCCCGCTTATAACAGTGGCATGCCCATCAGCAGTATACGCTCTTTTATACATTGTCTAAGACGTTAATTTTATGGTGCTTTCAAGCGTCTATCTATCCAAATAAAACGATCACAGTAGAAAATTTTAAACGCCCGTAAATACCTTCGGGAAAATCAAAATCATTATACAGGGTGTCCTACAGTGTTATCCGAATGCTAATAACTCTGTCAATATTTATTTATTTATTTTTTTTTGTTTTTATTTATCTTGCGTATCGAGACACAAATGTAGAGAAAATTAAATTTTTACTTTCATCCCTTAATTATTGAAAAAAAAAAATAACTTTATTTTATTGAATATTTACATATTCGATCAATAGTTTCTTAGTTGTAACAGATTTAATATACAGAAAATTGGCGCGAAAACAATTAATTTTCAACAGAAAAACACGGAACGCGATAAGAAATCACAATCAACACGGTTATCTTCGATCTTGTCTTGTTATCTACTATTGAATAATATCTATTAATTGTTTTCACGCCTATTTCCCATACATTAAAGCCGCTATAACTAAGAAACTATTGATCGAATACGCGAGTACAATAGAATTTTTAGAATAATATATTTCACAAAATGGTTGTTTTAGAAATTTTAAAAATTGGGTTGTTTTTTCAGCGATTAAGGGATAAAAAAAAAAAAATTAATTTGTCTCTACATTTGTGTCCAAACCCCCTCCCATCCGGCACGAAACCCGATTTAAAAGGAAAATAACCGAACGTCGACGGAATTATAATATGCCAGCATTCGGATGACATCCTATGGGACAAAGGCGACGAACGAAAAGACGAAAAAAAAAAAAAAATTAAAAAGAAAAATTTGAAAAACCCCTCGGTTGCGAGCCGGCGTACACGCGCCAAAGCTGCAGTACCTAAGTGCGATTCCGTCGGACACGTTTTCGGCGCGTACACGGACCGCGCGATTTCACACGCCGAGTCCGCAAAACTCCTTGTTAGGCCGTTACCGGTTTCCCCGGGTAGTTATGTCACGTTGTCGTTACCGCGTTCGTGTCGCGTTATTTGTTATTATGTCAGCCGCGGTGGCAAGGGACCGGGGACGTGTCCCGCGGCAGACGGGACGTGCCGACGACCGGTTCTCTCGGTCTCCGGCGCGCGCGGTTACGCCGGCCGAGGATGGTCCAGGACGGTATCCCCGGCCGCCCCCCCGGGTGAAAGTCTCGCGCGCGTGTAGAAAAACGCGCGTAGAATCCAAGTGGTATATATAATCCGATTACTCCGTGAAAAATCGTCAGTCAACGGCACACGGCCCAGTGCGAACCATCGAGGGGTATTTATAATTTGCCGTATCTCGTGCAGCACGTATTTTTACCAACCGTAATCGATCTGTTATAAACGCGTCGTACGACGCCGCTGCACTGTTACTCGCGGAAACGAATCGGTCCGAAATGAAAATACACGTGAGTACTGAAATTTTTACTATGTTTTTCCATTCTTACGTCGGGTACTTCGTCGAGGTATCCCCCCCCCACCCCTTCCTTCCTATCTCGGTATCCTCAATAATGCTCAATAGTAAAACGCTCGGCGTTCGGTTAATTATGCGCACGTTCTGCCCGTCGAACTATTAACAACAACAATATTAAACAATTATTAAATATTATTCGGACATTTTAAAATGTACACCGACTGTACTGTACAATATCGCAAAATCAATACCGTACCGTCGATTTTTCGATAATCGTAATATAAACGATTGATTGAATACAAATCCGTTGTTTATCAAACACAAAGTTGATAAAAAAAAAAAAAAAAAAAAACCACCTCGAAAAATAACACAGTTTCGTTCGGCGACGACAATTATTCTTAGCGGTCAGTATTAACGTGGATTATCGAACTTCAAGATAAAAACATTATATGAGCCGTATTTTTTTTTTTCTTCATATTTCGCTTAAAAATTGAAATTCCGTGATATTCTCTCGACGACGACACGACACAGATCGTTCGTTTATCTTTACGTTAGGATTCTGGTTGTACGTCGGAGACACAGCACATGCGGGCATGGCGTCCTATTAAGGGGATTTTGTTCGACTTTGTAAAATAGGACCGTTTTGTTTTACATTTTAACGAACAAGACTTGCCCGCTTATCCGTCGCCCGATAGCCACAATTTAAGGGGTAGGGGCATGGCCGTCTATACGGAAGAGTATCGCGTACGTATCAGACCGAAATGCCATTCAATACTGTAGGAATTGACGGATTTTGATGGGTCCTTTATTGGATTACGTTTTCATAAGTCAAAGGCGAATCACTGATCAAAGGTTGATTGCCGAAATCTCCCAGTCAAAACTGAAATCCGTCGAAAACGACTCGTTCTTAAACACAGTTTCGGCGCTCTAAATCGAACGGAATATACGCCGTCGTCAATCTCCTTGATCGGATGGTGGGTGGCGGGTAATGAGTATGGAAATTAAGAGAAGACAAGCCCAACGTAATTCCAGAAAATACTAGTGAACCCCCACTCCCTCCTACGCAGCACGATAACGCGTAACTTTTGCTGCGGATAACGCGACGAGAAATCAAACATTAATAATATTGTCCGGTATCGTGCACAGGTGTTGATCGGTTTGGTGGGGCTCGTGGCGTTGGCCGCGTGTTCCGACGATAACGCGTCCGGCGACCAGACGCAAAGTGTGCAAGACGCGCAACAACCGAAAGAAGATCATCAGGCTAAACGCAGCGTGGACGAGGACTACGGCGCCGGCGCGGGAGCGTACGGGCCGTCCGCAGACGAGGCCGAGGCGTACCCGCCGTCGGCGGTGGCCACCGACGTGGCGGCTCCGGTCTCCTACGCCGCAGCGCCGTCCGGTTACGCGGTGCCGTCCGGTTACGCGGCCGCCCCGACGGCTTACGCGGCGTCCACGGCGTACGCGGCCCCGACGGCTTACGCGGCCCCCTCGGCGTACGCGGCTCCGACGGCATACGCCAGCGCGCCGTCCGCCGTCGGATACGGTCCGGCCGCTTATCCAGGGTAAGTGGTGTGTCTTTCGTTGTAAAAACCGCACGACATATTTTCGTCGGTCGTCGTGTGTCGTGCGTACGGGAATAAAATTGAACGCGCGCTAATAACAATAATATTACGGCCGTGTGACTAATCGAAATTCATATTTTCAAACGCGGTAAATATCAGGGGAGAGGGGAGGGGAAAATGCATGTAATCGAAGTGTAAACACCGGCGGCGGTAGGTATACGAGAGAGAAAACGCAAAAAAAAAAAAAAAAAAAAAAACCGGCACTTACGTAAATTATTGTGCACGCTAGAGTCCCGGCCGTTTTCCCGGAGACGTCCCCGCGGAACGCATCTGCCCCTCGACAACAATCTGTCGTTGTTCGTCGATCGTTTCGCCCGGTCGGTTCATTCCGAATATACTCTCCTCAACTCATCTCCCCCCCCACGCTCGAAAACAAACGGACCGAAATAAAATATCCCCCCGATCCCGCCGTAACGTCAGCGTTAGTAAGCGCTCCGCGGCGTCGGACCGGTACGGACGGAGAGAAAAGTAAAAAAAAAAAACAAAACGGAACGAAACGAAATGCCTACTACGACATCCGAACTCGATTGTTATCAGCGTTAGTGCAGTTAACGACGACGGGGCCGAGCTCCGCGGGCCACGTAACGCGCGCGCGCGCGCGCGGTCGGCCACGTTTTCATGGTGTCCGCACCACGGTGTTCTGGTAATCGATTCCACCGAACGGAAATCGGCGTCGTTGTTGACAGTGGGCCGCGACCAATTACGGTAATATCGCGTTTAGGTATACCACGCCGTTAACCGAAGACCGCGATAATAAACCCGTGAAAACGTCCGTCAGTGCGATACGCGCGCGGTATAACCGGAAAAAAAAAAAATAATAATAAAAAAAAAAAAAAAAAAAATTGTGTACAAAACGCAACGGATCGATACCGGTAAACTGTCAGGCACACAATAACAGTGTACAAAGAACGAGGGCGGCGGCGGTGGCGGCGGCGGAAAAAAAAATAGACCGAGTTGTTTGCTTTTTAGTTTTCGGTTACGACTCGACTGATTTCGCGTGTTTTATTTATTTATTTATTTTGTTTTTTTTTTTTTTTTGTTTTACGTCAGATACGGACCCGCGTACGCTCCGGCTTACGGGCCCGAACAGGTGATCTCGCAACACGTTGAGATCAACCGCGCCATACCCATACCGGTGTACAGGACGGTGGCCGTCGGCGTGCCGCAACCCGTGCCGGTGCGCGTGCCGTACCCGGTGCCGGTGATCAAGACGGTCGCGTACCCAGTGGAGAAGCCCGTGCCGTATCCGGTCGACAAACCGTACCCGGTGCACATCGAGAAAAAAGTCCCGGTGCCCGTGGACAGGCCGTACCCCGTGCCCGTGTACAAGATCAAGCACATCTACCACGAGCCCAAGTGGACCAAGTGGCTAAGCGGCAATTGGTAAACCGCAAAGTTATTACATTATTTAGGTAGGTACGCCGCGTCCGAAAACGACGGGGGTTTTTTTTTTTTCGTACGTTTCACGGTGATAATCAATAATAAATAACATCGACGGTGATTTGTGAAAAGGACGTGTACCGCAATACCTTTTTTTGGTATCGAAAAAATCCGAAAAATTATCAGCGTGAACCGGTTAAAGGGCGTGTTTTTTAATACGGGAAATTAAGTTGGTAATGTCGACTAAAAGATGCCCGGGCGCCCTTTTAAAATTAAATCGATACCGATTTGTTAAAAGGGCGTATAACACGTCCAACGTATGTACACTTTTGTGTACAAGGTACTTTGCGTGTCCGAGTAATCTTATTGTTTTAAACGTCGTTTGAAAATTAATAATGTTAACAAAAACACCGTCGATATTATTTCTTCGGTCCGAGGGGCTCGAGTCGATATTTGACTTTTTTTTATTACTTTTACGATTCGCCTACCCTTTATTTTCCGTTCTGAACGATACGAGTGTTTTCAAAATGTAATTCGCTTGTATTGAAAACTAAACGAAATTGACTTGAGCGCTTCTTCCCCGGATCCAATGACAGCGGCGGATTTTCAACATTTTTCAGGGAGAGTCCCTGAAAAATCATATGTATATTTCAAAGGTCTTCTATATTGATGGATGCACTTTTTTAGGACGACATTTTATTGAAAATATACCAGTGTCTGGGGGGAAGCGTCCAGACCGCCTGGACCCCTCCACCCCGTAAATCCGCCACTGGCCAAAAATGTATCGTGTACATCAATATACTGTATATTTTTGGAAATGCGTTTCTTCAAAATATCGACTTTTCGTGCGGTACATTCTCTAACGCGACAATTTTAACACGGGAATTTTACGTATACATATATATTTTTTTAACGATGGATTGTTTTTGTTTTAGATAATACGGTGGCTTACGAATATTTTCAACGTATTGGACTGCCTACGTTTATTTATGCATGTAAATAAAATATTATGCAAACGCAGAAGTGTCACGGTACTGATGATAATTGGACTGATCGTTAACGTTACCAGTGTGCATATACATCATGATTTTTTTTTTATCTTTACTGTTTTTATTATTATTATTATTATTTTTTTTTTTGATATACATTCAGTATAATAACATTGTTAACTAGTATCTAGTTTATATTATAACGAATAATGAAAACAAAAATGAATAAACTTAAACTGTTTCCATAAAAAAATTCTTAAAATTATTTCCCTGTTTTCAATTATAAAAAAAAAAAAAAATCATTGAAAACGCGGAAACGTAAATATTTATGCTTTTACTGAACAAGTGGTAATCATCGTTAATAATAATTAACAAATCAAATATGCCAATGTTTAAAAAATTATACACAATTCCGTGGTGATTTTTGATTTGGTCGTCATTAACTAAATTAATTAGTTTACTCATAGATTATTAATTATTATTTTTTATTACCATCATAATAACCATGTTCAAAGTACAGTAGACAATAATAATTATAACTATGATTTATTTCAAATAATTGAATATACCTCTAAGAAACACGAATATGGCCATTTTTTTTATTAGGATTATAAATTTTGCTCCGACTATTCGTGTATTATTACGTAGACTCTTTATAGGTATGCTCACAGATGATACGATAATGGACAGGCCGTTTTTGATATTATATTAGACCTGTACACGTTTTTGTTCTCAGGTAGAGGCGATTTGTTTACACTGTTTGATATGGTGAGGCCTAAGTGATAAAGAATAAATACATTATATCGGTTAAATCTACCGGTCCGAATCATCACGCTTCTATACCTGTGTGCATAATAAATTAATTCAACATAATACTTCTTTGGTGAAATTATTTATGTAAATAGAACACGAAAATAAATCATAAATGTCTCACATTATATAAAAAATAATAATTATTATCTTACATCTAATACAATTTATGTATTATGTTAAACTGTGGCACATAAATAAATTACCTGTAAACTATTTGTATGGACATTAACTATACATTTCTTGAATTGATACTTAAAATAATATCTCTGGCCAATGTTTGGCATTTTAGACTCTGAGTGGAGCAAAGAAGATTATGGTTTTAAAATGATGTTTATTTGTAAATGTTAAGCTATAAATTATTAATTTTTTAGTAATAACAGTTTTTCGTAGACATAAAAAAAAAAACCTTATTAAGACCAAATATACCTACGTTCATTGCTACGCTCAAAATCTAAAATAAAAACGATTTTTTTTTTTTCTGAAGGAAAATTATAAATATTTTCTTTTTCCAGTATCTTATGATATCTCAAGTATCTATTTGGTTTATATATTTATACAGTTTTTTTTTTTTTATTTGTGTATATAATATAAATAACGAATTTCTAATTCGATTTGTATATTTCACGCTTTTTTTCTCAATGTAAAATAATATATGTAATTATATTAAATTATTATACATTTTAATATTTTTTTAAATAATTCGTTATTATCTAATTGGGTGTAAAAATTGAACATTGAAATTACGCGTAAATGTGTAATTCATAACGCTCCTGTATCGTGTAAATCGTTATTTTGAAAAGCCCTGAAAAAAAAATGTCGACTCAAATATATGACCAGTAAAACTTATGTCTGCTATTCCGATAAACTGTAAAACGCAGCGGATTCGGTTAATACTGCAGTTAACGTGAATTGGTTAGCAGATGGAATTGTTAGCCGGCGGAGTCGACATGCATCTTTTTTCGAAGGACGCGATACATTTCCAATTTAGTGGGTGACTGGTGAGAACAAGAGGCGCAATTGTGCTGATTGGAATAAAAGCGTAGAAGACGACTATTATTCACATATCAATACACCCCTTCAAATACAAAAATACGCATTGTTCATGGAAAATGGAAATAACTGTAAAATATCCAATACGTATGTTGTATAACCGAACAATTGTATTTAAAAATTGAAAATATTCGTATTGTATTATTGATTGTATTATAATTTGAAGAACGTTAGATGTTGTATAAAAATAACACCATAGAGTAATTTATTTTGACAAATAATGTATTTATAAATAATACAATATTTTTCAACAATAACATTAATAGAAATCTGAATGTTTTACTATAGTTACTACATAGGTATTTATTAATTTGTTATTATTTTTGTTTTTTGTTTTTTTTTTAAACACTACGAGAAATTTAAATTCTGCCACAAAAACTACTTCCTTTCATCGTACATAATTATATGCTGTTCTTCTAAAAACGTATTAATGCTCAGTAATAGGTGTAGTTATAGGGGGCTTGAGGGGATTTAAGCCGAAGAATTCAGAATTATAGATCAGACTCTGCACATTAAAACTGTTTAGTGGAAATACAGTCCCTACAACATATTTTAATTCCCTACGCCTATGAATCTTCTTCTCAGTTCTTTCCCTATCGACCATCATAAGGATGGTTGAACCATTAAAGCCCATCAAGCCGTTATCTTTATAAGGCTTCCATCAACTCGCCGTATGAGGTTTTAGGTCTTGTATTTCTGATTACGACAATAATTATTATCTAGAATACATTGTATTCTAGATATGTGTTTAATTTTACACTACTGAAAGTATATTGCCTATATATTATACTTGAAATATAATATTGCTTTTGTTGGTAAAAATAATATTTGTCTAAATACTGATGTTAAGAAACCCGGTGAATTTTGGCCACCTTAAAGGGGACGCTTTGCCGCTAATCTATCGCTCGATTCCCGTTTGTGCGGACAAAAATAACATCCACGGGATTAAGGATAAACCATTGTCAACATAATTTGTTCAAATCATTTTTTTTTTTTCTTATAGTAGACAAAAATATTCTACAAACCATACTGAACTCTGAAACTTTTTCATTTGATTACAAATAATGGAATAACATATTCAAGACAGATTTTAAAGTTTGGGATGAAAATATTTCTCTAAAAATCATCATCGATATTTTCAACTTTCATGAAGTGTTTCATACAAATTTTAGACATTTTAGAACTCTATAAATAATATTATATGTACACGTAGATTAACACAGTGTTGTTTTGTCTGCATTCAATTTATTTAGTTATAATTATAAAAAAAAAAAATCATTGCAAATGCGGAAACGCAAATATTTATGCTTTTACTAAACAAGTAATATGACAATATTTAAAACACGGGACACATTCCATGGCCATTTTTGATCTGGTCATTATTACCAAGACTTTAATTGGTTTAGTTTTCACATAATTTGTAGGTATATTATGTGCCTATTATCTAGACAGTGCACCAAAATTTATCAATAATATATTCAATATTTAATAAAATAGTTGTAGAAATTATAAATAGATACCTACCTATTTATAATTTCATATGAGTGTACTCATAGTATCCATATGCTTATATAATTTATTGTACTACTATATAATATTATAAAGACAACATTTTATGGGAAATATAAACGGTACACACTTTAATGGTAAGTAGAATAGTCTTCGGGATACATAAAAACAGAAAAAATACCCCCGAGTTCATACTTTTACTAAATCTGAGTGTCTCTATTAAAATATTTTGAGAAAAAGAATTTTCTCTATAACTGACGAACACGCTAATCTAACAACGTCCGCCATTCTGCGTCGAAATTCGTCTCCAAATGCTACTGCCGCGGAAGCGGCCGTTCCGAGTGCGACTGACAATACTACGCTATGTGTTTTACCAACAGCTGTAATAAAAGCTCTTACTGACCCGCCAAATTTTTATAACAATTATGAAACTAAATTAGACATATTTATATTAAAGAGTTAATTTTTTTTTTCACAGTAAATTCGAATCAATCAGATTACTACTTGCATAACAATGGCAATAATGACAATGTACATTTTTGCCTGACAAAACCTATTTATGAGAACATTTCAAGAATAAATTAATATCGAATATTATACTGAGTGGGAGTTGGAAATAGATTTTCAAATTTTATTCGATTTTGTTGAACGTTGAAAATTATTTTTTATCTTTTAATGACCACCTAATGATAGGACTTTCCCATTAATCTTCTATCTGATAACTATTTAAGGATAATATCCTTATTATGGTAATTTTTACCGATGAATATGATTTTTTAGAGCAATAGTTTAGAAAATTAGAAACACTTTCTTATGTTCGATTTAAATGTTTAAAACTTATGTATGGGTTTATTGAAAAACTCTCTAGGTTTTTAGAAAATAGATTTTTTCGATTTTAAATTCAATGTTTTCTAAATAAAAACAAATATAATGTGGTTTTTCTACGAAAATATTCACAAATAACGTCTTAGTTTTAGTGGTCTCTAAAACTGAAGATTTAAAATGACTTATTGGTCTAAAATGATCAAAAAGTGTGTTCTAACCTCCTTAAGCAAATAAATTATTATTTATTATATTAGGTACAATTTTAAGCTTATTAAAATAAATGGGAAAATTATTCGTTTCTAATAAATATTATTTTCCCACATTAACTTAAAATTAAAATTAGCTCTCTGTATTGTTGTATAGTTTTAACTCTCTCAAGGTTAAAACTATTCATTGAAAATAATATTTAGTTAAAAAAATATTACTAAGAAAATATCTGGTTTATAATTTATAAATATAAGAAATAGCCTTGTACTCTAAACTTTATTTGCATTTGTTGAAAATTAAACTTAAATTCTAAAAAAAAACGACGATCTTAAAATTGTTGCACCTACCGGAAATTACAAAGATAAAATAAATTTCTACTTTAACACTTCAAATGAACGCAATCTTCAAACTAGGATAAATATTGTATTATTTACTTACATAGATTAAAATTTGTACAAACAATTTCGGTAAAGTACACTGTATACGCTTTTATTTCATAATATTCTATACAGTGTGACGAAATTAGAGATGTTATAATTGATAACAATGATAAATGCTCGCCGTGTTTATCACAGTATATTGTCAAGAACCGGATTACCGTTGAGGCAAATCACCACAAGTTGTACTTAAACTTTTCGGACTGCTTGAATAATGAAACCCTAAATACATTAGTCACTTTCGAAACTATAATAAAATATTAGAATAAATTGCAATATGATTTAGTTTAAAATTATATCTTGTATACATCGTTTGGTTTTATCGAGACATGACAAAGCAAAGATAAAATCTTCTTGTAAGTCATTACCGAAAAATCTGGGCCATTGGTTTGGTATGATGACGTCAGCTAAAAATAAATCGAATTTTATGATGTTTGGTGAGTTGAAAATGTTATTGGTCAAAATGTATTATGACGGAGAAGAAGAATCATTATACGCTCTTCTATTGAAAAAGGAAGTCGAAGACCTCGAATCGTATGTTTATAGCAAAGTATGTTGAATATATTTTTCTTATCAATTTAATTTCAGTTGGTTTTATTGGTATTATAATTTTATCCCATTAGTTTTATAACAGGTCTATAATAGGACCAATTTGTGGATACTAAGTGTATTAAACTATTTTAGCGAACAACTGAATTTAAAAATAGTATTACAATAATTCGAGATTAAATATTTTGTAAAAAGTCGAAAATTGGACTCAAGGTGAGAATATCAGTAATTTAAATTATCATTAGTTGTTAATCAGTTGTTATTGAGTACGTGCATTGTTTTTGTTTTTATTTTTTTTTGTAATTTAATTAAGATTCTAATAAATTGTATAATCCAGAATCTAGATATATTTATGTTTTATGTTAACTATTTTTTGATTAATGTTCAATCATAAACATTGATTATGATACAACTAACAATGCATGTTTGCACAACTGTTAGACTATATGCAATAAGTATTTACTTGAATAACCATTACTTTTATTTTTATAATATTATCGACCGTAGCTAATGTTAATGTAAATCGCAATGTCTTTGTTATACTTTTGAAAATTAAATGGTCTTTTTTTTCAGTTTGAATTTTCAGTACAGTTTTATTCCGTTTGTACATCATATTTAATTTCGTCAAACCAAATCAAGTTCTAATAGGAATAAGCGAACAATTTTTACTTATTACCTTTATACCTATATTTACCTTTTTTAACATATTATAGGCATATTTTTACCAAAATAATCGGGTTACGCATACTGTGATAATAAAATAAAATAAAATAAAATAAAATAAGTTAGTATAATTTTTTTTAGTATGTATTATTGATATTAAATTTCAATATATCGAATCTAAAAACAAATATTTTAAGAAGAATTT